GTTTAAAGCCAGGAAGAGTGTAAAACAGAGCACCCCTCATTTTGGAGGTGGGCTACCCATAGATCTTTCTTAGTGTAAACAATCTAGTTTTAATAATTATTATTTTATTTTTCCAAGAAAGTAAACAACACTGTTTCAAGCTCTGCAGATGCAAAATACCTAAAAAAGAAAAAAACCCAAATGTGAATACTGGTGAAAAGTTTTAAATTTCTGTAACAGAAATAAGGCATAAACCACGAGCCAGTTTTGTATCAGTAGCCAGGTTCTTTGGGTTAGGAGCTTGTTTTTTGTGTGTTTACTTAACCAGGTATTAACTTGTATGCTATAAAGCAATACTGGAGCCAGGCTCTCTTTCTGGATGTCTTTCTACCCAGCAATTGAGTCTTCTTTGTGCAGAATACCACTAAAAAGAATATAACATCAAGGCTGCACATCTGTTTCCCGTTTCAAAACGTGTTCTTTTACTCTAGATCTGTATTTCTTTCTTGCTACCATAAGATTTGGGGTTTTTTTCCTTCAGTAAACAGATGAGAATAAAAAGATTGCTCATGAAATGGGTTACTGGCTATTGTTTACATGGGAGACTTTGGCAATACATTAATTTGGCCCTGTTGTGATAATGTGCATCCACAACTTCATTTGTTCCACTACAATGTATATTCTCCTGTAGCTGCTCTGAAGTAGAGAGGACATGGTACTTTCCAGTTCTCTTCCTAAGTCTGACAAATGACCTACAATTGAAAAAAGAGATAAGAATGCCCTAATAAATCATTATTGCTCCAGCTTTCCAGGCAGGGTGCAAGAATTATACCCTTCTGGTTCTTTTTGTTGTTACTGCTTTGCAGTTCTTTCTGCTTGAGAAATTAATTGCTGCATAGTGACATATTAGGGACACTTTTATTCCCAGGAAAAGTTCATGCAGGATTTTTCACATCTGTGGTCAGACAGTAACTAGTTTGAGACCAATAGTAATAAAAATTAGAACATCTCTCAAGTATTTTCCTCCCATAAAGCTGTTACTCAGAGTGATCACACTGGTACCAAGTGTCGTGTCAGCAGCGAAGAGAATTGTTCAGAAGTGCAAAAGCAAGCTCATGCCAACTTATTAAATCTGGAAACATTTTTTAGAATTATTTTGTGTCTGTTTGTTGTCTTGACTGGCTTTATTCCTGATGATCCACAGAGTGTCCCTGTGTGGTCTCCTGGCATGGGAATCTGAGATGAGTTTTATGTTTCCTCATTCTTTTTTCTTTCTGAGGTCTGTTCAGTGGCTAATGAACATATGTGCCATATTGCATTTATCAGAGAACAGTTGCTACTGAATTTGTGTAGTAAAGGTTAGATATGAGCACATTAAAGGTTTTTATCCTCTTTGTGGCATTGCAAAGTTTTAATTATCTGAATTGGGAAATAAAATCCCTGAAGGTAACAAAATATTTTTTGAGTCACAGCGTATCTATTAAAAGGATTTCATTGTAATGTATGTCTTCTTCAGTGGTACCACCACTGCTCAGGCAACAGAGTTCTGCTGTCAGGTCCTTTTTTGGCTCCCTGGTATGAAGTTTGTTGGGCCATGTGACTGGGATTTCAGATTTAAAAGTAGTTAACAGATACTTCTACTCAGCAAGCTGCTCCCATAAAAAGCTGCTCCCATATAAACAACAAGCAATTATAATCAGCAAGTACATTTTTCAATAAAGCTTTTCAGGTTTCTCTGGCTGATAGTAGAAGAAAAAATACTCTTTTTATTCGTACTTTAAGATACTATAGCGTCAAATTTGTTACCCAAACCTAAGTTTTCCATTGGAGCACTATGGAAGGTCACTGCCACAGAGCAGGGTGGCATGATGGAGTTACTACAGGGAGAAAATAAATTATTTAATCTTTCCATAACAATAGCAGATTTGGTCATAGTAATATGTATCATTTCTACCTAACTTGAAAAAAAAATCTGTAGTCCACTAAGTCCAAAGATAGTATACCTGCAGCTTGTGGTTCCGTGATCTTATTAATACTTCAAAAGGCATTTAATGTGAGACTTCCTACTCTCTTCCCTGGTAATCACGATAGAAAGGGCACTTGGATTTAATTAAAAATCCTTCAGGTGGTTTATCCCTAAGGAGGGCTAGCCAGTGTGGGTGCCAGTGTGGTCATGCTGCCTGCTCTGTGTGGGCACACAGAATCCATTCCTGGCTCTGGCAGGGAGGATGGGAAGGTTAGCAAATCTCTGAGCTGAACAGGGCAGTTCATGCAGAGCACTCTGGCACACTGAACTCATGTACTTACTGAGGAAGCAATACCTGGAAATTCTCACTTCAGACCCGAATCACAGGTTTTTTGGAAATGAGGATCAAAGCATAGTTAGCTGAGTAACAAAATCAACCAGATTTAAAGGCTGTTTGATAAATGACTTGTATATAGTAAGGTTGCACTCAACTCTTCCCTCAGCTCATAATATTTGCATATCCCAAGGTAGTTTACATCTTTAACAAGTTTTACCTCTGGGAAGAGACCAAAATATCTTAAATGTTGTCCCTGCATTTCATGGATATGCTGTAAAATTAAAAAAAAAAAAAGGCTAGATTTTACTGTGTGTACGCTGGAAATGGTTTCAGTGTGCCATGACCTATAACCTGGCCTCCATCATGAAAAATCTGCCTCCTGAGCTCTGTATTGTGGTTCCAAGAAGTAGCAACAGCAGCACATTGGAGAACACTGATGGCTTTGAGAGATATGCACAGGCAGGGCTATGAACATGCTCCAAACTTAGAAGTTGGCATCTGCATACAGTATTGCACAAAGAGCCAAATGCAAGAGATTTCTGCACTTCACTTGGTTTATTTTAATTTTGAAACACAAAATAGTCATTAAATATATGTGTCTATCCACAGTGCAATTTGAGTGTATTTAAGTGATAATATTAAGAGGATGCATCTCAAATGAAATGCTAAAGTTGTACAGTTCTCTGCATTACATTTGAAGATTCATATTACTTCGATTCTTAGGAATAAAATACACAAGCAAAACACAAAGAAATGCTTCTAATAATATTTTAATATTTTTTTGTTTTTTGATTTCTGATTATGTTATGGGTAATTGAAAAAATACACAAACCCCCATGTATGCCAAAATAAATAAATAAAGCATGAAGAACGATTTCTAATGGTTTAGTTAGAGAACACTAAGTGCTGGTTTTATCTCTTTTAGAAGCATAAAGTGTGGTCAAGAAGGTGCCAAGTGTTTGCTATAGTCACCTACATCTGTCTTTTTCATAGTTGTGTTTCTGTTTGTGTTCTTTTGAAACCTAAGTATGCATTAGATAATTTTTCTGCTAAATGGGCATTTTACATGAAGATCTGAGTGAAGATCCCAGTCTGGTTTTATCAGTAAACTCACAATTCTGTCAGCTAAACATAAATATATTTTTAAATGAGTTTGAACAAGACTTGGTGTAAAAGCTCACTAGATGTGTTTTGCTGAAAAATGCTATTGGGTGGTGCAAGTTTCCAGAATGTTAAGATTTATCAGTGCAAAGGTTATTTGAGACAATTAGGAATTGTTAAACTAGAGAAGAATAAGGTTGTGGAGAGTAAGTTGTGAAGACACATGTAGAAAGTTGGGGCTGTTCAGCCTGGAGGGGAGAAGGTTGTGTGGAGACCTTAGAGCACCTTCCAGTGTCTGAAGGGGCTACTGGGAACCAGAGAGGGACTGTCCCTCAGGAACTGTAGTGACAGACAAGGGGCAATGGCTTCAAACTGAAAGAGAGTAGGTTTTTAGGAAGAAATATTTCTCTGTGTGGGTGTTGAGGCCCTGGCACAGGTTGCCCAGAGAAGCTGTGGCTGCCCCATCCCTGGAAGTGTCCAAGGCCAGGTTGAAAGGGGCTTGGAGCAATGTGGGATAGTGGAAGATGTCCCTGCCCATGGCAGCAGTTTGAACAAGATGAGTTTTAAGGTCCCTTCCAACACAAGTCATTCTAGGATTCTATGATTTGGATGAATTAAGATGAATTCATAATGGAACTCTCATTTCCACTCTTCTGAAAAGCTTGCCTCTTCTGATCCAGGGTGATCCCGGTGATCCTTCCCCTGTCTCTCTAGCTCTGATTTCATTTATATTTCTCCTTTGTATTTAAATATTGTGTGGTTTTGAGGTCCCTACATGCATCCTGCTCTGCTACACGAACCTCTCTTGCTTTGGAGTCTGTCAAGCTCAGCTTCTTCATCTGTGAGCCTGGTGACAGCAAAGCAGGGTATTAAATAATCAGTGGTACAACCTGGAACAAAAATAGGGAAACAACAGATACTGGGATTGCTCAGTCATAAGTTCCTTCCATTTTCTGACTACCTGCTTTCACAAAACTTGTGGAATCATCTTTATCTTTGAGATTTTTCTTCTGTTCCCTCAGTCTCCATCACACTGGATTGAAATCAGCCTGGCAAATAGTTTATCTATCTAAGCTAAAACCTTCCTCACAGTTCTTGTAGGAGTCTGTAAAATTCTCCAAATAAAAGATAAGCTGCGAAAATTAGAGCAGAAAAATAGAGAGTCCTTTAAGATTCAATAATCTCAGAACCATGAATCACTGGAGTCTGGGAGGATGTTGGACTTGGACACTGAATCGGGCAATTTTTCTGTCTGTCCTAGCATGGTTCTTTCCCTTCAGCTGATCCACTGGAACAGTCTTTACTGTGTTTTGTGTAACTCAAATGCTGCTTTCATGACTTTGCAGCAAAGTGTTTCTTCCTGCAATATCATCTGTCTTGTTATAAGCTTAAAGATATGTTAAAACTAGGAAATCCTAAACTCCACTTCCATTCCCTCTTGCCCTCACTTTTCCTCACTTTAGAAATAGAGTTGGGGAAATTTTTACCTGCTTACAATATACAGTCATTTTTTGAGTGTTAAGAAAGTTTGTGCTTTTATTTTGTGAGCAAAATATAATGATGGATTATGTTATGGGTATTATATTTTAAATACTTTTCTGTTTCTGTATTTGACAGGTCCTGGAGCAGTATGAACGAGAAGGGTTTAATTTCCTTGCTAAAGTTTTTAATTCTTCACATTCCTTCTTGGAAGACTTGACAGGTCTAACTTTATTACACCAGGAGACACAAGCTGCTGAGGTAAGAAAATACAATTTGGATTTTAAGAATTAGCCATGTGATTAAATGAATCACTGATGGAATCAAGTAGTGGTATTTGATTTACAGAGTGATTTACTCAATGATTTGGACATTTTCTTAAATTATTTGTAACTTTTTGTACCCTGAGTTTTCAGATACTGCTTTTAAAGGAAACAAATGACTTGTGTTATGTGGTGTAAGGAAATCAATTACCATTTTGGGTAATTAAAATGTAATTATTATAATGCTTGAGGGATTGTACTATGGGGAAAACAGTGCTGTTTGTCTAGTGACAAAAGTTGGAATGCGGAAGAAATTGGGGCAATAGCATGGGCAATAACACTGTCTAAAGAGTTGTGATAGCTGAGTGTGTTCCATAAAAAATGAAACAGGTATCAGAATCATAGAATGGCCTGGGTAGGAAGGAACCTTAAAGGTCATCTAGTTCCAATCCCCCTGCCATAGAGCCTTCACTAGATCAGGTTGCTCAGGTATCTGTTTTAATACTGTATTTTAATAATGATTAGTATTCCCTACTCCATCTGCCAATGTCTGTACCATTCTGCATCATAATTTTTTTTTGGCCTAGTCATATCACATGGATGTTTTTGAAGTGATCATTCAGTTACTGCAGCCTGTGCAAATGGTGTAGCTGTTTTTTCTGCTGGAAATGGCTCGACAGTGTCGCTTAATAACGTTGGGGGGATAATGATAACTTGGCTCTCTGCTTCGTGTTTTAACCTTTTAAAATAATTGGAGCAGATGCTGGAAGCATTAAACTGTAAAATACCTGATGCATTCTTAAATCAGCCTGGTAATACTTAGAAAATATTTAAATATATATATATGAGAGGGATCCAAGAAAGGAAAAGAAACACCACTTAACACGTACCGCTTATTAACAGTTAGAATAATTGTGGTCTGATTGCCATGCCTGACTTTTAGGCTGCTAATGTAAAATGTAAAAACAATTACAATTGCTCTAGTTAGTAATGTATTATTTTACAGACATTAGTCAATACATTTCTTTTGCGGTTTCAGCCTGTGCACAGGTGTTTGTTTATGAAGTTTTAGAGACTTTCTACAAAATGTCTAGTCAGGTGTGAGTTTATTGCAACTTACTGAAGTTCAAAGTTTATAATAAAAATGGAATTAGTGTGCTTTCAAAAAATCTTTTGGTTCAACACTGAGGTTTCTGCAATGAAATCATTACTCATAAGTGGAAAAACTGACATAGAAAATATTTGCAGAGCTAATGCTTTCAAATTAGCCCAACTACCATAAAACCACTGACTTTTCTTGATTGCTTCCCTGTAGTATTGGTATATTTTTGTAAAAATTCATCTGTTTTATCAGGATTAACTAGTTTAATAGTCATGATAAAGTCTGTGTTTATGAAGGTTAAGGTCTGATAGGCAGATTTTCTGCAGATTCTGGAGCACGCTTGTTTGCTTCAGATTAAAAGATCTGTTATTTCATTACAGTTTACCACTGTTGGCTCTGAAAATAAAAGAGGTTGTTTTGGACTCTCACAGTACTCCCTCAGTAAATAATTTGGGGCAAATTTTAATTTTTTTAGGTGCACAAGAGAGTGCTTTTAATATATTTTCTGCTGAATTATTCTTGTATTTTGAGCTCCTTGTTCTCATGCTGCAGTTGATGAGTGTGAGGTCTGCAAAATGGTTTATCAGGTTTCTGGCTCTTTTGGAGCTGCTGTTGGCAGAATGTGTTCTCTAAAATGGAGGCATTAGATTTGTTAAGGTTGATGCTCCTTAGATTGGTTTGAGATATTCTTGTTATGTTCTAAAGACTGCAGCAAAAATACTGAGAGGTTTCACAAGACATTTATGGGCTCTTTTGGTGAATAGAATATTTGATTGTTCTGTTAAGAAGTTATGTGCCTTTCAGCATTCAAACTCTTTAGAGAGATTTTCTAGGTTATTGGTGGGTTTGGAGACCATAAAAATGGTTTCTAGTAACTGAAGATTTTCCTTTCCTCCTGTTTAGTAAAATGTCACCAGTGCTATTTCTGCACTGTAAAGAAAATAGACTAGTAAAGTTAAATGTCATCCAACCTTATATTTACTGCAGTAGCATCATAATCAGTTGCAATTTTGTGTGAAAATCATGGATATTTGACTGATAAACTTGTATCTGATAGGGAAATGACTCAATCTTGCGCTTTTTTAAAAAAGATTACCCTTAAAATGTTGATTCATTAAGATGATTTAGTTGAATGTTTTGCTTAGAGTGTTTTGTTGTGGTCAGAAAAACTGTCATGCTATGTTTCAGCATCTTAAGTGAAATCACACTCTGAAACTTATTCTTGTTTTTTATTTTTAATTCACCTAAATGCTTAGCTGCTTTCATGATAAGTTATGGAAATTCCATAGGAGTGACAGAACAGTTTTGGATGGCCTGAATTTTCCATAAAAACTCTCCCTCCCTACATTATTAGCACAGACTGCATTTTCCCAGATTAAAACAATACAGCTTGCAGTAAGATATGGGAGACTTTTCACTGAATATCTTTTTTACTTGCACTGTTCAATTTCGTGTTCCAGGGCTGTACTGTTGACCTAAGTATTAATGCCATCTTGACATGCTTTACCTTGTCTTTTTACAATGACTGATAAGAATATAATTCTAATTCAACATGCAACAAGAGTAGCAATCATAATACAGATTTAGTTTCTGGTTTAACTTTGATAGTTATTGCAGGAGTTTTAGTTAATAAAGCACTTACTTCTTTGACATGAGATGCATCAGGAAATTATAAATATTCCACGACTTCCTTAGCATGATGATTTACTCAGTAAATAGTAATATTAGCAAGTGTTTCTATTCTGTCTTGAAATGACAGTAAATTTTAGGCATCTGCTTTTTCCACATCTGGCTTTAATTTAGGTTCTGTGAAACTTTTTTTTTTTTAATAACCAGTTAGATATTTATGTACAACTTCAGCAAGAGACTCTGATGACACACACAGCTTTGAAGGCCAATAGAAGCTGTGGGAAACTCCCGTGTCAGCACTTAGGTCTTGTTTCCACTGGATACAGTTCATTTTGGGAGCTGTCCAAGCTCATGTAAAAACTGCAATTCTGTTTTCCAGATCACTTTGTCTCCTTGCTCCTAACCTAAACTTTTAAACTTGACACTTGTTCAATGTGTAGTCGAGTTTAATAGCTGGGCTTAAAAATAGAGACAACCTATGGATCCTTGAATTATTAGTGAGACACGGGAGGTGTTGACCTGGAGACAGAACAACCAAGTGGATGATTTCCAGTTCAGAACTTGGGCTGGATTGTTGCGTTTCAGTGCATCCCTAAACCGACTTGTTTGCTCCCCACATATGCCAGATTTAACCCTGCAAAGGGTAATGGTGTTTGCTGGTATGGAAAGCTTTCCTGATATTCACTCTCCTATCTGTGTTAAAGGTTAATTTTTACTGATGCGACACTGGTGGAAGTAAAAACTGACACAACAATAAAGCCCATAGCCAAGATTATTCCATAGTTGTGGAAAAACCATTCCCATTTGTAAGATTTTCTGAGAAACTTAGTTTTTTAAGGCTACTCATTTCATTGTTGCCCTTTTCCTCTAGAAATAACTGCCACTGTTCTTCAAGAACCAATTAAACAAAGTAACCAGGCTTATCCTCGCTGGGCCATGTGTAAGTGCTCCTGAAATCCTGAGGAGTGAAGCATCTTATTTGAAAGGGATTGTCAATCCCAGAAGGAGTGCTAATAGTGGTAAAGGGAAATTTTGGCATGAATTCACCGTAGTATGAGCAGTTGAATTTTTGTACAACCATTTTCCAACTATATTCATTTTCAGAAGTACAGAAGCCTCATTTCTCTCTGTTCCCAGTAAGGCGCAAGTGTAAATATACTTTCTTCCTTTGGATTTCATTTCCTGAATTACTTGAGTGCTTTACTGTACTTGCTGCTTTCATCAGGATGAAAGAAGATTATAAAATACATGCAAGAAATAAAATGTTCACTTTGTTTTACGATTGATTAAAACACAAGAAGGGGTAGAAGTCTTGTAGTCTAAGAGGGTCATAAAGAGTTTTGGAAAAAAATCAAATCCAGACCAGAGTTCATATTTCTGAATGTGATTATAAAGGTCAGATATTGGTGCCAGCAGGTCATGATGTCTGTATTATTTTGCTTTAGTAATGTTGTAATTCAAGTTTTTTGTCTCTTATAAAAAATTGGGATCCATAGTGTCTATAATTTCTATGAGAATTTCTTGTGGTCAGTGAATGAACCCTGTTTGTTATTTGCAAAATCACTTTTCTCTACTGGTTTACTGTATCCCAAGCTATGTTTCTTATATTATACAAGGGTAGGATTAATTTTTAAAAAAAAGAAGGATTCATGCTAGTAACATACTTGGAGCTCTTTCTTTGACTAAGAGAAAACACAGAAAACTTGTTTTTATTCTGTTTCTGCACTTACTTGACATTTGTACCTGACCGGTTTTCAGTCATTTCTTGAGGAACAAGGCTTAGCTGTGTAATAGGCAACTGATATTAAAAGGGAACTTATCCTAATTTGGAAGAAAATTCAGAATTTCCAGTGTGCTTTGCTATTAAAAATATCCTGTTTGTTTCTGATTATGCAATATATTTTATGTTGAAACAATAACATATGAATAGCCAAAAAAAATCCCAAGCAAAACTGAAAAACCCAACTAAAACAATATTGTAACAGTAAGTTCTATAACTGAACAGGTTTTTTTTCTGTTAGCCAAACAGTATTCAGAACTTAATTTTATTTGATGTTATGAAAACTTCCTGAAGAAATCACTACTGATGGGTAGCCAAAATTAATATTTGAGACTTTTCTGTGTCTGTGAGCTTTTTTGTTTTCACGTTTTTAATTGGTGCATTTCAGGAGAAATTCGCTTTGACAGATTCAGACCTGCCCAGGAATTTCTTTCTGAAGAGATTAAGAGATTAATTTGTTTTTTTTTCAGGAGGTAGGTTGTTTTTT